CCCTGCCCTCTCTTCGGCAATGTCCCTCGTGTCTTAGAGGGGGTGGTATAGATGTCCTTAATCATGCACGGAGTCCAGTAACACCAAGAGAGGCGGAGAAAGCAACTCAGAATTCAGTTACCATATTTCTCTGAACCTCGAGCAACTGCAAATCTCTGCATTCATCCCAGTCTACTGCAAAGAGAAACTTCAAGGCTGAACGTAGTATCTATGGCTATAAACAGAATTGTTTATACAGCAGTTTGGTACCATGTCAAAATTAGCAAAACCATAGTACTCCACCTCCTCTCCCAGGTCTATATAATCTTGGTTGCTAGGCACAACTGTATAGTAAGACCCTCTTGCTGAAGATACCACACACTTGGTGAGAGGACATAAAAGAAACCATGCTGGACCTGACCTGGAAGCTTCCTTCCTGCTGACCAATGTACACAGTCTGAAAAGTGCTACGAACGCTGCTGGGAGAGAAAAGACATTCGCTGCCTATGTTTCTGTGAGCTATGAGAACTACATAATGACAGTGTGTGGTTTCTTCAATAGAGTCTTAATGTATCATTCGGGGGGGGGGGGCATCCAAGAGCATAGCCATAGCCTGTGTTGTTTTGGGGGCCTCTGGGACCTGTCTGGTCAATACTCCCAGGGAGGTTGTCTCACAGTCCTTGGCATTATGCTTGAGCCACGCATAGTCAAAATTCTGGGGCCCAGATTAAAGAAGCCATACTCTAATGACAATAATAAAAAGAGTATGTATCAGGCTTATCATGTGTTAAGTGCCATAAAGAGTTCTCCATTGATTGTTTTATATTATCCCCCTCTTAAAACTTTATTAGGAAAATAATATTAGAGCCTAGCCTGGTGGCCCAGGCTTGTAATTCCAGGTAATGAGGTGGTTGAGGCAGGAGAATTGTGTAGGAGCCCACTCCTACAAGGTCAGCTAGGGTTCCTAGATAGGGGATCTTCGAGGCCAAAAAGTCAGAAGAAACAGAAGACAGGATAGAATTGGGAGGTCTGTCTGGTCATGCCGAAGCAGCCAAACAGTCCAGAGTTCATTTCAGAACATGCTTCTATACAAAAGCAGAACAAAGCACAGCACTGATGGTCAGTCAGTGTCTAACCACAAGACCATCCCTGTCCTCGACTGAGCAGCCTCCTCTCCACCACGTGCTTGCTGCTCAGAAGCAGCCTTACTTTCTATCTTGGTGCTCCTGAGGTTTGTCCTCAGCAGTATACTGTCTACTAGATAGTGTTCTTTTCTCACGGGCTAAATCAGGAGTCTTTCACAGCCCTCAAGGTTATAAGAAAAAGTAGAGTAGGCAAGCTTGAACTCACATGACTTCTTTAAGTCAGAAATGACTCCAGATGGAAACTGAGTCACACGTGGGAGTGTCTAGGATGTACAAGGCCCTAGAGTCAATCTTCAGTACTAGAAAAAAAGGAGGGGATGGGAAGGAGGGAGGGGGGAAGGAAGGGGGGAGGGAGGAAGGGGGGAGGGAGGAAGGAAGGGGGGAGGGAGGAAGGGGGGAGGGAGGAAGGGGGGAGGGAGGAAGGAAGGGGGGAGGGAGGAAGGAAGGGGGGAGGGAGGAGGAAAGGGAGGGAGGAGGAAAGGGAGGGAGGAAGGGGGGAGGGAGGGAGGAAGGAAGGGAGGGAGGGAGGAAGGGAGGGAGGGAGGAAGGAAGGGAGGAGGAAGGAAGGGGGGGAAGGGAGGAAGGAAGGGAGGAAGGAAGGAAGGGAGGAGGAAGGAAGGAAGGGGGGAGGAAGGAAGGAAGGGGGGAGGAAGGAAGGAAGGGGGGAGGAAGGAAGGAAGGGGGGAGGAAGGAAGGAAGGGGGGAGGAAGGAAGGAAGGGGGGAGGGAGGAAGGGGGGAGGGAGGAAGGGGGGAGGGAGGAGGAAGGGGGGGAGGGAGGAGGAAGGGGGGGAAGGGAGGGAGGAAGGGGGGGAAGGGAGGGAGGAAGGGGGGGAAGGGAGGAGGAAGGAAGGGGGGAGGGAGGAAGGGGGGAGGAAGGGAGGAAGGGGGAGGGAGGAAGGGGGAGGGAGGAAGGGGGGAGGGAGGAAGGGGGGAGGGAGGCGGAAAGGGAGGGAGGCGGAAAGGGAGGGAGGCGGAAAGGGAGGGAGGCGGAAAGGGAGGGAGGCGGAAAGGGAGGGAGGCGGAAAGGGAGGGAGGCGGAAAGGGAGGGAGGCGGAAAGGGAGGACTTACTGTTCAGAATCTACATACCATTACCTGAACAGGACAGAAGAAGAGTGTCAGATCACATGTCCCTAGAGTTACAGGCAGTGTGAGCTGCCCAGTGTGGGTGCTGGGACTAGAACACCAGTCCTTTGTAAGAGTAGCAAGTGCTTTTAACCACCCAGTCATCTCACCAGCTCCTGCTTGCTTGTATTTTTGAGACAAAATCTTACATCTCAAGCTGGTTTTGAATTTACTATATAGCTGAGGTGGGCCTTGAATTTCTGATCTCCTGTAACTATGTCCCCAAAGCTGAAATCACAGGTGTCACTACTCAACTTACCACTGTTTATTATTTTTTCCAGAATATTTCATAATTTTCCTATTTTATTTTTATTACTATTTACACAATACACACATGGATCACATTCACCTCTCTTCACCCTCTCTTCTGCCCCATCTTTCCTGATGACCCCCTCCTTTCCAGTTAGCTCCCCTCTGACCTTCATGACTTTCTTTGAATGTATGACCCAGTGACTTTAATTGGGGTTGCTCGAACGACTGAGGGTCGGGGCTTATTTAGTGAGTGTCTCTGCGTTTCCAGCTACAGTTGTAATTTCTGTCTGCATATAACCTTGTGTGTCTGCTATCTCTGATTCCATCATAATGTCTGTGAGATTGAAACAGACTGCTTTATACACCAGGAGTTAACTCTCTCTTGTTGCTGAGTGCCATGCTGCTGTTAATATACCATGTTGTGTTTATGCACTGGTAGACATTGGAGTTGATACCAGCTTAGGTCAAAACTGAATCACATTCTTCTACAGTAATTTTGTGGTCATAGTTTTTCTTTTTTTTCCCCCAGAGTACAGATACCCAAGAAGATATATATATATATATATCACTGTGGCTGACATAGTAGAAATTTGCCTACTGTCTTTTAACTATGACTCCACACACCCAACAACATTTAGAGTTGTCGCTCTTCTTCCTTTTACTCAACGAGTTGTGTGTCATGTGATTCCATTGTGGTTCCGAGTCCGTTTTCTTGTCATCCAACTTTACTGAATAGCTTTCAATTGTTTAGAAATAAATTACTTAACTTTTTGCTCATTTAAAATACTAAATCTTAAAACTCATTCACTGCAATAGTTGTAGATATATTCCATTTGTAAAGTCTTTATCAGACATGTAGCATTTCGCTGCCTTTGCCTTACCCTCTCGTTTTCTTTATGTTGGTTTGTAAAGATGATTTTTTTTGTTTGAAAATAAGTGTGCATACCTAATACTTTTGTGTGTTAAAGAGTGGGGATTGAACCTCTAGAGCGGCGTGTGCTAGATTTTGGAGTGTAGAGTGTGTGTGCCAGGCAAGTGTTGAACCACTGAGATAGGTCCATGCCCAATGTGCAAAATTTAACTTTTGAGCCGGGCGGTGGTGGCGCACGCCTTTAATCCCAGCACGCGGGAGGCAGAGGCAGGCAGTTCTCTGAGTTCGAGACCAGCCTGGTCTACAAGAGCCAGTTCCAGGACAGGCTCCAAAACCACAGAGAAACCCTGTCTCGAAAAACCAAAAAAAAAAAAAAAATTAGCTTTTGTTAGGTTTATTTTATTGCTATTGTTGTTCTGGTGAGTGCCAGCATGCGTACGGAAGTCTGAGGACAACTCTTAGGAGCCAATTCTCTCTCATGGCTCCTGGGGACCAAACTCAAACAGCCAGGCTCGTGTGCTAAGTGCTTTACCTGCTGGGCTCTCACAGGTGATGAGAAAGAGCAGTAGAGAAACAGCCAAAATGGACGCTTCATTAAGGGAAAGGTTTTCACAGTGGATTAGAGAGAGAAGACATCCAGAGGCATCTGGAAGAATCTAGAACAGAGAAAAAACCAGAGTGGGCATGGCCAGGGCTAGCCAAGTAGGGTGTGGGAAGATCACAGGGTGGGGGATGAGTAGCTGGGGTGGGGAAGGGCCAGGAGGCTGATGTGGAGTTTAAAATGCATAACGCTATTCAGATTAAGTTGATAAATGTGTGTGCACTACAGAAAACGGTTCCAGGCATATATGGTAGGAATGCTCCATTTCGAAATACAATGTGTATGCAATTTTAAAACTGAATGGATTTGCTTTTTCCTGAAAATCAAGCCAAGCTAAAGTTTTTTCAGAAAGGAACATTTTACTAAAGCGTAAGTGAAAACCCCTGGGGCAGGCAAGCTGCAAGTAAATCTCAGCAGCTGCCTGGAGGAGGAAAGAAGAAAAGCGCCTGCAGGGTGGGAGAGGGGTGGGGCAGGGATGGTGGATCGGCATCCCCAGGGTGAGGGTGGCGCTTTAGGGATATGCCACAATAATTAACGCTGCATATAGAATGCACACATTATCTGGCAAGCAACTTTTGCTCCTAAAGAGCTGGTTCTCTTAGGGAGACACTGATAAAGCCAAACCTTTCTCTTGAATCAAGGCTTACTGCTGGGGCCACTGTACGGGACAGGTGCTGCTCAAGTGACCTGTACTGGCGCAGGAGTCCAAAAGACACACAGCACCCTGTGGTCAGTGGGAAGCAGCCTATGGCACACCGCTTGTGATGATCTGGTCCATCTTGCAATCCTGGATCATGTTGGAGCACGCTCTGTCTTCCCATGACATACCTCACAGTCCTGAAACTCTCCTAAGAATCCGTCACAATTGAACTAAAAATGATCTGAAGGTGTCAAAGAGTCTAACTTAAAAGTAGACACTTACCTTTCATGTGCCTCTAAGACCTGGCCTTAGATAATACTCTGATTAACGGGGCTGCCCACCATGGTAGACAGGCTTTAAGAAAATAAGGCTCGATGACTCGGTGAGCTATTGATCAAAGAGAGTTTATTCACAGAGCTTTTCAGATACAAACAAAATAGTACTTTTTTTTTCCCTTTACAAAATGAATAATGAAGTAATTGTCGTATATAGCACAGTAGAATAATGGGCAAGGGAAACCAAGATCCAATAACTGGAGAGAGGCCTGCCTTCGCTCTCATACCTGCAACTGAATTCTCACCTACAGTGGACAAAAACTGTCCTGTTTTTATTTCCCACAAGGGTACTGCAGCAGAAGCTAATCAGATCACTACCGCGTGTCTTTGAATAGCATTGAAATACAAAGGCTTACCCCTAAAGAGCTGCAGAAACACTGCAGATGTGTGGCCGGCATAAAGCGTTTATGTAGGATATCAAAAATACTGCTAGAGCGGCTTTATTGGTCCATGGACTAGGCTTAATGTACGCTTTTATAAAGTGATGCTACTGTACTGATGGATATTTAAAAAACCAGGAGCAATGGTGCACAGCTGATCCCCTGTGCCGTGGTGTGATGACGTGTATATGCACACGCCTATGTGTGTGTGCATATGTGGATGACATGTGCGTATGTATGCATGTGCTTTTATGTGCTTTCAGGCTCAGTCCTCATCTTCAGGGAATGTCTGCTGCAGAGTACTTACCCTGCTTCCTAAGATAATACTGTGTCTACTAGCCCTTTGGACTCCCCTAGTCCTCGTCTTTTTGAAGGAGAACGAAAATGAGATCCTCGTTTGCATATATAGATTTGCTGTGTGTGTGATATACATTAACAATACTCTGTGGAATAGAAACACCCAATGTCCTGCAGTGTTTTTTAGCCTTTGGTCCATTTTCCTCCACGGTCCCATATTCTCCATGCTTCTGTCAACTTCCCCACCACCCTCCCTTCCTATAGAACATTCCAGATTCAGTCAAATTGCATTCTATTGACATTGTACTGGCTAGAACCACTATTCCACCTTGTGAAAGTAGCTGATGCTTTGGCCCCTTCAGTCCCCCGTGGTCCATCCTCTCCTCCACTTGCCTCCCGACAGCCTGGTCTCAGTAGGGGTAGTGCTTCTGCTTCTTGCCCGAGAAGCAAGCCAGCCACGTGCACAGCAGCATGGCGGCCGCAGCACCTGCGCCAGTGCAGTAGTAGGCCCAGCCGATTTCACACTTGCCTGGGGACAAAGCAGGGAGAGAAAAGCAGACAAGGATGAGTATGACCTGGAGAAGGCGTGGTTACATCTTCCAGTGTGCCCGCCACGGGAATGAAGAATGGAAGAATGGCTGTGTGCATCTCCACAGGTCCCAGGTCTCTGTCTCACGTCAGCTAAGAGAACCAGAGAATCTTTATGCCCTTCTACGCATGTCCACACTCATGGCTGCAGCAAAGGAGGAACGGCAACCACAAGGACATGAAGGATGATGACTATATCTGTTCTCACCTTTGTGCCAGACTTGCATGCATGTTAAGGCCAAAAAGGACAAAATACAGGAACAGTCCTCCTACAGAGGGGACCCATTTGAGGGACACATGCGGAACATGTCAAATGACCCATACTCTGTGATCTAAACTGGAGAACATGATCTCCCAGCTTGTCCTGGGGCTGAAACCCACTTTCAATTCAAAGACCATTTAATGGAGAACACAATGACCAGGTCGAAACAGGTCCTAACTGCCCAGAGTAATGACATACTTGAAACTAGAAAAATGTTGATTTTTTTTTCTCCATATGCTCGCTCATTGGGTTGATTCTTTTAACAGTGCTAGGAGATGGAATGTTGCTCACAGTCCTTCAAGTTCATGTAATTATTCAGAAATGGAGGCAGGGTTCAAACCAGCATAACAATCAGAAGTCTTTAATTCTAAATCGCTTGTCTGGGTTGATGGAGGGGGCTCTATGTTCCTGAACTTTGACGAAGGGTCGTTCATGAAACAGTCTTAGTCTGCAGCCCCTAATGTCACTCAGCTCAGAGCCTTTCTACTTCAGTCTCCATGGTGCTGGGCTTAGAGGCACGAGGTGCCATGTCTGGCTATCTTGTTTTGCAGTGACATCCGAGTTACTCTTTTTATATACATGGCACATGAGCCCTCTGTCTATTCCTTTGGTCTCTGTCCTTAGGCTCTAAACAGGAATAACTAGAACTATTTTTTCTTTCTGCATTTTTTTTGGGGGGGGGGCAGTGTTGGGGATGGACTCCAGAGCCTTGAGCATGCTAGACAAGTACTCTGCAGCTTTGACCATGCTAGACAAGTACTCTGCCCCTGAGCTGCATATCCGGAATGCTAACCCTTCTTTCCTCCCATTTTATCATCTTCCAACAGCAGCCAGCTGCCTCCTCTCTTTTATTCTTGCTTACATGTTATGTTAGATACCAACACACTTGTATCTAACAGGGACTGAATGTACCAACCACAAAAAAAACATGCCTCCTTTTTTCTCTAAGTTAATTTTTGCTTTGTTCATTTGTAAGATAATAACAATATCTCACTACCAAAATATCAAGAGTGTAGATCTATCAGGATACCTGAACTATTTTAACTAGACCTTTTCAGTTGCATGTCTAACTTGCTCCATGTACAGACACAGCCATGTGAGCTACTGGCTTGTATTAGCACTACAGGTAGAGGTGTTGTAATGAACAAAAAGGCAAAGATCACCCCATTTCTTGAAACTTCCATTCTAGAATGAGGCTGAATTGAATATACAAATAGATGGTATTTGTAAGCTATAGAAAGTTCTAGGGAGGAAACAAAGGCAGAGGAGGCATCAAGAGCGGCACAGCTGGCTGGAGAGTTTGCATACCATAGAAGCAGTCTCGGACATGACCCGGGCACACAGACAACACCACACTATCCAATCCCTGTCTCTAGTGCCATCCTTGATTTCCTCCTTCTCCATCCAGAGATGATGAGAAATAGTAACCATGTAGTTATTGCTTTTGCACAAAACCATTACACATTTGTTCTTCATGGGAATAAATAATAATGTGTTTGGTCTTCAGAGGAATGTGATACACAGGGTACCTAGGTATCATTCAGGCAGGAAACCAAAGTCAAGAAAAGCTGGAAGATGACACAGAGGCTCTGTATGAACGCACACTTCCCGCCCTATAAAGGGGCTCACTGTTTGCCTCTGGATGGACGCACACTTCCAGTTCTACATGGCTGAGGCACCCAGCCTTGAATGCAATCGTGCTTCCCTGCCTCTCCATCTCCGCTGCAAAATGACCAACAGTAGAACAGTTGACATTTTTTAAAAAATCAAGTCATTCTTTTTTAGATCTTTGAATTCTCAAAACTTGATCTCCTTTCTGTGACCCGTGGGGTCCTTGGTGAGCTGTTGTCTTCTCGGACCTGGGGGCCACCTTGTCTTCGGATTACACTGGGCAGCTTTATCTACAGCACTCTGGGCTTGGGGCTCTCCACACACTCCCTGCTCACCCAAAAACTCTATTTCCAGACCTTCAGGGAACTAGCTCCTTCTCAACACTAGTTCTCAAGGGTCAGACCACCCACCCCTACTTTTTTCCTCCTAGCGCCTACTGTCTCCTCTGCCTTGGCTTCTTCCACTGCACTTCCCAGGGCTTGCAAACACTGCGTGTGTATGCCCAAACCATTCTGTTTAGAATAGAGGCTGGAAGTTTCAAGACACGGGGATGGTCTTTGTTCCCTCCCATACCTCTGTCTACAATGCTTTACCCATCACAGACACTGGGTGAATCCCTGCAGAAGGAGAAGCAAAGTGAAAGAAAACCAGAAAGGAAGGAAGCAAAGCCGACAGGCATCCAGGCCTCCCGAAGAGCGAGTCTGGTGGTTTAACTCTAGTCCAGTTTTGGCACTGGACTTTAAAGGGAAGTTTTCCAACCCCATATCCAACATTGCTGCCTCCCACAGGCTACGCTGCATTTAACAAAATAATAGATTCGGAAGGTCACGTCTCCAGCTCGGGGTGTGTCCCCAGGCACAATGACCTACCCCAATACTGGTCAACTGGAGAAGTGTTTTTCAAGGATGACAGCATTCCTGTTTCATGGCCACATTTGCTGACAGCCACAAGCTGTGAGCCTTGGGAACCATCATCACTGTGAATTATTCGTTAGCCGAATTAAATAAATCTAGAAGGACGAATTAGCAGGCAGCTAAGAGTAGCCAGTGGCTTAGAACCTTTCCAAGAGTCAGCAAAATGTGTGGTCTCTCTCTGTCCCACACAGGGCTCATAACGTGGAAGGCCACCCATCGCTCATCGTTAACGGATATTGACCTACGCACAGCCCCTGACCTAATGCAGAAGGCAGAGTGTATTAATGATTGGACGCGTACTCAAGAAAGAGTAGCCGTCCTGGGTAATTACTGGAGAATGTACATGTCACTGTAGCTGCGTCTCTTTAAGATGATAAAAGGAGCTACGGAAGGGCCAGCAATCACAGAGCCAAGGTGAGAGGGATATCACCCACGCCGTTTACTGCAGGGGTGTCGGAAGTTTCAGGTCTAGGGGTCCTTAACTGTGGAGAGCTGCAGCTGTTGGCACTGTGCTCTACCCAGCCCTTTGGATACTAGTCAAAGCTTCCGTTTGTATTTTTGTGAGGGACCCACAGCTGTGAGCCTGTTCCACCTTGACTGGAGGTCAGAGAGTTGGAACTTATTTTTGCTTTTTCAAAGCTGATGACAACAGGTGTGGCTTTAAATGAAAAATTCTGACCTAGGGTGTGGTTAATTAGTATTTGGAGTATAGAGGTGGATCCACTCCACCTGGACCATCATGATAATGAAGTCTGTTGCATCCCATCTCTCCTTTCGGAGTGAAGTATATAGGCGTGTAGAAAACAAACAAGGTGAGTTCAGTATTCACTGAATGCCCCTTGCAATGCTATTCTGTATCTCTGTCTCTTATTTCTATCATATCTATGTTCCTTTTGCTTAATAATTCTAATCATCACGCTCCTACCCTGTAATGTACAAGTCACATTGAAGCTGGTCTTCGACAATATTTGACCTCTTACAGTTTATACTGCAGCTTTCTCCCCTCCCAGGGTCCATGAGAGATTAGAGACAACTTTCCTCCCCTCTGATAGTTATAGTTCCCTCTGGCATGGCTGTAGTCGATGGTAGACTTAGGACTGGTGTGCCATTGTCAACACTGATGGCTTCTTTCCTCCTTCATGGACTTATTCTGCAGCATAAGGAAGCTTCCAGATCATCTGAGAGTTCAGGCTGGTCCTTACATCAAGCTGTCATGTGCCTCCCCGCCCTGGTGTTTGCTACCTTGATGTCTGTTTAAGGAGGCCGCTTGTTTGTTTCCCGGCTGCCCGGCAGCTCGGACCTAAAATGATCACACAGAAACTATATTATTTAAAACGCTGATTGGCCCATTAGCTCTAGCTTCTTATTGGCTAACTCTTATATGTTAATTTAGCCCATTTCTATTAATCTGTGTATTACCATGAGGCTGTGGCTTACTGGGTAAAGTTTAGGCATCTGTTTCCAGCGGGGGTACATGGCTTCTCTCTTACTCTGCCCTTCTTTCTCCCAGCATTCAGTTCGGTTTTCCCCACCTACCTAAGTTCTGCCCTATCAACAGGCCAAGGCAGTTTCTTTATTCACCAATGGTATTCCTACACACACACACACACACACACACACACGGGAATCTCTCATCAGATGTCTTCCTTCCTGGTTTCTCCTAGGTACATTTCATGTGTGTGCATATGGGTGTTCATGTGTATATGGAAGCCAGAGGTCAGCCCTTAATAGTTACTCTTTAGGAGCTGTCTACCTTGTTTGTGAATGCATGCTCTCTCATTTGCCTGGATCTCACAAGGGTTCATCAGCAAGCCCCAGGGATCTGTGTGGCTCCACCAGGGCAGGCCCTTCACATGGTTTCTGGTCCTCATACTTGCACAGCGAGCACTACTGCCAACCATCTTCCCAGGCCACCTTGACACATTCCCTTGAACACAACTTTGCATTTAAAGGTCTGCTCTGATGAACTAGATCCAAGACAGCCATGGGTGAAGCAGGCTTTTCTCATCTGACTTTATCAGAGGCCCGTGAAGTGTCTTCAGTTGTTGAAGGTTTGCCCTCCTTACTCACCATGCACCCACTCGCAACTTGTCATCTCTGAAAGACTAAGGAGAGAATATCGGGAGTGGGGGTATGGAGAGTGCAGTATCTGTC